GAGTGGATAATCAGGTGAACATGAGGTCCTAGTGCACCACACTGGCCAAAAGGACTAACACTGTCCTTGGATGCATAAACAGAGGAATCTCAAATAGATTTTCTCCAGCACAGCCCCCAGCTGGCCCTGGGAGTACTCACTCTGTATGGACACGGCTTTCTTTTTTTTTGCTCGACAAAACCATTGGAATCCTAGTACCAGCACCCCCCGCCCCTTTTTTTAACAAAAAAAGCACTGAATAGGAGTATAAAGGTTAAAATACCTCTGTGTTTGGCACTGGTGCAACTCCTGTTGGAATACTGTGTCCAGTTCTAGGGTCCACAGGATGTGGATAAACTGGAAAGAGATTAGAGAAGAGCAATGAGAATGATTAGAGGATGAGAAAACATGCCTTTTGGGGCTCATCTATACCACGCTAAAGTGTCTAAAGAGGATATGCAAATTCTGCAGGAATTTGCATATCTTGTTCCGATCTCACTTTTGAAAGGAGAGCTTTACCTGGTTCCGCAAGGCTGCTGGCACAAAATGGCTGCCAGCAAAAAGACAAAGGAGAAGCAATGACTCCCCTGGGTCTTAGTGCTCAACCGCTCCCCTCCTATCCCTGCACTCACTCTTAAAGGGGACATGCTCTTTTAATGCTGTTTTATGTTAATTTTTTTCTCAACAACTTTGGTCTCCCCCCCCTTTTTTTTCTTTCTTCAACAGAATTTTGTCCTGTTTTTTGGGGGGGGGGGCGGTTCGGTATTTTTGTTTCAACCATCTGGCAACCCTAATAGTTTCTGTGGAGTACTGAAGACAGCAACTTAGTGGGTTTTCACCAGACCTACTAAATCCATGCTGCTACATTGATAGCTGCCGTGTTGATTTAGCTGTAGTTTGTTGTCTTTGCCGACAGCTAGCCTTTAGGGACACAAACACTTACATATATATATATATATATTGCTATCAACATGAAAGCTAATAAACTTTTATTGTAAGCCACTCAGGGATCACACTGCTTTCACTTCAACTGGATCCTGTCTGCTCGGTTTCTTCCATGTGCCACTACATGTCTCTTAAAGGCATCCTGGAAATCAGTGAACCGTACAATACTAAATCAATTCCATATGTCCCTATAACTTAACTAATAACACAGACTGGAGTCAGACGTAAACAGTGCATGACCCATGGTGGAAAGCAATCTGAACTACAACCTCCTTACAACACTTTATCCCACTGTCATGATAGCAAACAACAAACCATGGGATGTTGTTTGGTTCATCACACTCTCTGTCATGACTGTTCAGTATCTCCAGTGACCCCTCCTTCAGAGGTCCTTCCTGGTTCCTAGATTTTGGGTCCAGTGTGACCCTGAATTGGTCCTGCTTCGGTTCTGCGGGTGTCATACTGCAGGTCTTCAGGTGGGGCATGTTCTGATGGTGGTGATTCCTTGCATGAACTGGGATGTTCACAGATTCTTTGCACAAGAGAAAACAGCCATTCAGCTGTTGTAATTTTTTTTAACAAGATCTCCCGGCCTGAATTTTTTAAGCCATCTTCTCTGTATGGTTAAAGAACTACTTGTTTGTCCTTATCCTCTACAGACCATTTTTAACTTTGCTTGGGATTCTAGGTCTCAAAAGGGTTGTCACCCCAGGGAGTTTCCCTCTGAGTGTTCTTCCCTTTAGCATTTGTGCCATGGCATTCCCAGTCAGTTATGAATTCCAAGTGTTCGATCAAGCCCAAATGTGTGTCTGTCCCTAATTCCCTGTTTTCTTGAACAACAACTTCACAGTCCATATTGCTCATTTGGCCATTTCACTGGGCTGGAGTATCACATAACCAGTTTTAAAACATTCCTGGTTTTGCCTAGCTGCAATTTATTGGTCACTCCAGTTTATTTCTGTTACGTTTCTTTTGCATCTTTTGGTATGCTTAGCCTCCCTGTTTGTCTTAAAATGTTTTCTTCTAACATTTATTTATTTAATCTACATTAGGGCTCAAGCCATCTCCCAGAGAACACAGGTTTTCCTGTAGATTTATTTAATGGGTATAGGATTTTGATGTTTTGTCTTCAAAATGAAAATTCAACAAGAAAACTTAACATTTTTCCTTACCTCTAACACATGGATATCTTTCAACACATGGTGTTATGTTTGTAATTGAATATGCAGCGAAAGAGGAGATGACTCAGGGCATTAGTAGGAACTTGCAAGTTTCCATTTTGAAAGGAATGCACTCTTGCACAATCCCACAAATGTCTGCAAAACTCTTGGCAGTTTTCTTTACATGCAAAATTTTGATCATGGGCATCGCTCCTTCTAAATCTAAAATAACATTTTCTTAATTCTAAGCAATGAATAGTTCATATTAAATCGTTCTAAAGTTGATTTAAGAAGCCAGACATTCTACTGTACTTTTTTACTGTACATTACTTTAACCCAGTGTTTCTCAACCTTTTTTTATAAAGTACCCCTTTAAAAAATTAAAAGTACTGTATCTCCAAAACCTACAGTTTTCAGACACACAACATTTTTTTCTACCATTGCAACACATTTGTTTAAACAACTTAATCATAACCAGGTGGGCGATGAACTTTTTGGGTGTAAAAAGTACAAAAATAATAAAACACTGTCACACTTAAAACAAAAATTCAGTTTTCTCCAAATTTCCCCCAGACTTCTCTCGAGTACCCCTAAGGTGCTTTGTACCACTGGTTAAGAAATGCTGTTTTAACCTACTACCCCAGCAAACTCATTCTTCAAGATTACAGCCGCCACACATCCATATGTAGGGTAGGTCAGAGCATTCTACTCCCATAGGAGCTATTTAAAAACTCCCTCTTTAAAATAAGGAGTTATCTGAAAATTTTGAAGTCAGTTGGAAACCCATCTGCCATATGATTCTTCCCATTTCTTTATACTTTGGTTGATGAGACAGAACGTTTTTAAAATCAGAAATTGACATGTTCACATTATTGATTTCCTGCTTTGATTCTTTAAAGGTGAAGAGGATAGTAAAACAGTTCATCACATGCAGCCTGTGTTGCCTATTCCTCTGCTGCAAATGCTGGTAAATCCTAAAAATATTGTCTAAAAACTTGGATTTGACTTTCGCTGGTATAGAATTTCTTTTTTGTTTGCAATTATTTTTTGTTTGTTTAAACAAGTGTTCCCAAACAATTCACTCCTACTCTGAATCTTTGCAAGTTTCAGCCTGAAACTTAAAGTGGATGTTTTAGAAAATCATTCATAGCTAGCTAAACTAACCAAAAATATTGGTACATGTAGATACTTGAAAGAGAGTCAGTAAAGAAAGTCTTCTAACATGGTTTTCTAAGGAGAAAACAGATTCACATAAGAAATTTAGTCTGTATTTAAAGATATTGGCTCATATTCTTCCCCCATGTTGCATTATGTAATATATTAAAATAAAACAAAAATATATCAAAACAAAAAAAACAGTGTAGTGTCTCACTAACAAAATATATCGAAGCAATTAGATAGTGTAGGAATTTGGGGCACACACTGCTACCCTAATAACAGAGACTAGAAAATCAATGCAGGGGTGATGTTCTGAAAATGTTCTCTGTCTTTAATAAATTAACTAGAACACTGTTAAGTATCAGAGAGGTACAAACCCTACAGTTTTATTGAACCACTCGAAAGGCATGGTGAAAGACCAAGTTTAAGCTAAAAAAAAACCCCTATAAATAACAAGTAAAATAAAATATTCAGCCTTAGGAGCAAAGAAGATTTAATTTGAAAATTCTGTTTTCTCTAATTATGTTTGCACAGCTACACACAGGGAAGAGTGTAAAATGACAGTCTTGTTATATAAATGCAAAATATATGCATCTAAGGCATTAGACTAATGAAATTAGCACTCAACCGGCCTGCCAATGGCGAGGGGTGGAGGGGAAGGGGGAGTGGGGAGACAGTTGTCCTAGGGCTTGGGGATTAAAGTGGCCTGAGTCTCCTGGCCATAGCAGCAGGAGCCAGAGCCCTAGGTCCTTTAAATTGCTGCTAGAGCCTGCAGGCCTAGGCAGGGTAGTTGGAGGAAGGGATAGCTCTGGGAGTCTGGTTCCACCCCAGACAGCCTGTAGGCCATGAGGGGCAGGTGGAAGCTGGGGTCAGCCCACAGAGCCTCACCCCGACCTCAACAGCCTGCAGCCTGTGTGGGGGAAAGGACACTGGAAGGGGTAGAAGCTCCTGGAGCCTGGCACCAGACAGAATGAAGACTATGGGGGAAGGGCGCTAGAGGCCAGGGGCAGCCATGGAACATAGCCAGCACCCAGAGCTTTCCCCAAAAGAGCCTGCAGGATAGGGGGTGCTGCCCCGATGCAGGCTAGGGGCTGCCCCAAGAGCACTGTCCACCAAGACAGGTTAGAGGATGGAGGATAGGGCCAGCTGGAGCCTGGGGCAGCCCTGGAGATCCCTGCACCCTCCTGACAATAGCGTTGCCAGGTGTCCAGTTTTTAACTGGACTGTCCAGTATTTGAGCTTTCTGTTCTGGAAACAGCAAATGATGAAGGTTAAATACTTGAGCAATGTCAGCTGTATCTGCTAGTAACTATATATCTGAGCCTCTGGTTTAGTAGATGTTTGTTCAATCTTCCATTTGTTAAATTAGTTCCAGAGAGCTGCATAGGTTTGTTATAACCAATGGCTATTACTTATGTCAACAGTAGTATCAGTTTACACATCTGTTATAGGAGAATTGTAAAAAGCCACTTAACAGTTATATTATCAACAACAAAAACAGTCCAGCAAAACAGTTGCTATCCATCATTAACAGTGCCCAAATAAGCTTGAGAAGTGATGATCAGATGTGTATAATTATCCCAGTTCACTAAAGTATGGCTTAAATTTCCACATGTGCCTAAGTGCTTTGCTGAGTCAGGGCTTGTTTCCCCCTCATTGTTACTAATCTGGTTACAAATCCAGAGTCTTGAAGATATCTATGCTAAACAAAAATGATTTTGCATAAGGTGCAGCTGCCACATTATACATCTAGGACAGCTTCACCCACCTTCATCATTTGCTGTTCTTCCACCTTCCCTTCTTTTACAAACAAATGGGCCAGATGTGCAAATTAGGTGTCTGTTGCTTTTATAGATAGCAAAAAGCAACCATCAAATCACTACTGCTGCAGTATCTACATAGATTAATAAGGATTAATGTCCATTGTGCTGGGATATTGATTTGCATTCTTTCATCAACTGCTTTTCACTTTTTGATTTATAAGAGCGTCTTTTTTCCATTTCTTTCATAAGACAAGAGGACTAAAAAGCTTTTTGTTAATTGAAAAAAAAGTTCGTCATCTCTCATTATATTCTTTATTCATCCTTTATATTTATGTGTTATATATTAGTACTACAATTATTGCTTAATTTATGCCTTTTCAGAAAAATTGCCAGTCTTCTCTGTGGTTGCCCTGTTGGTAGTCTCAGACTGTAAGACTGCTGGCCAGGTGCAAGGACAATGGCTGTCTATTAATTTCTTTGCACCAGCTGTTACCCTCAGCATGCACAAAGTCTGGGTCCTGTGATGACTGCTGCCGGGTTGTGAATTTTATTTTAAGAGCTAATCCAGGCTGCTCAATCTGATAGTGAAGTGTATCCACTCAGAATGTATTATTAAAAAAAACATAGACCAGGCTTTAAATCCATCACAGAGAAGCTCGTGTGCTTATTCCTGCATCAGAAACAGGTCCATATTTAAAAAAAACTTTCGGTTTTTCTGCACAGGCAGATCTTCAGCCTGTGAGGAACTCCATTTTGTTGGGGTTGAACATGAGCACAGAGCTGCTTGTAGGCCATGACTGCCCACAATTGACTATCTGGGCTCACTAGAGCACCCACATTGGAAAAGGGCAGGTATTAAGCCTCCAATCATTGTTTTAAGCTTACGGAAACTCAGGCTCTTTTTCCCCAGCCCACACCTACCATTGGGAGTTTGTACCTTTAGCAAAAACACTTACAAATGAATGGGGTAAACAAATTTAAGTTTATTACCAAGAATTAAAAATGTAAAATAAACCAGGACCCCCCAACTAAACAGGTTAAAAAACAACACAAATGACAGGTGAACAAATAACTCTTGAGTTGCTAATGTCCCTTAGAGGCCTGATAGAGATGTTAAAGTCACAACTGTACCATTCCCGTCGGCAGGTGTCAGCCAGATACGGATACCCTCTGATGGGCCGGATATCGCAGGTGAAGGACCGGATCCTGGATTGATGTCCTCTCGTAAATTGTTCTGTGTCTGTGCATTCCTCTCCTTTCCTGTGTCTTCCTGGCTGTGGAACTGAGAGAAGATGGATAATCGGTGGTCTGCTATCCTATGAGTCTGTGTGAGAAACCCATCTTAAACACAATATAGATGCTAAATTAATGAAATAGCAGGCTGTAGATTACCTTACCAAAAGAACAACTACCCTTGCATATGCAATGGCTATCAGCAGAGATCAGTAGCACTTGCTTTTGTCTCTAGGTACACATGGCTCCTACTACTGCCTCCAGGACAGCAAGTGACCGGAGAAGTGGCCTTAAATAGCCAATCTTTTCCTATCATGGCAACAAAAAGGCACTAAACTTGGATAAAGAAGGGGGCCCACCTAATGTGGATGCCAACAACAACCTGAGGCAATCCAAAATGGCAATTCTACACTGCTGTAACAGTCACATGCATTAGCAGAGCTGTACAGTAAGGCTATCTTACAATAAGTTTTCACAGTGATTGTTGCCAGAGAACTATTAGTTCTTTGCCATCACGAGCACTAAACCCACAAACTTCTATTTTAAAAAGCAAATAAGAATAGAAAAAAATCAAAGTAAATTCTCATTCTGAGTTTAGAGTGTATTGTTCATAATATTTTTTAAAGAAAAATACATTTTAAAACAATCATTACTCACCATGAACTGGTACTTTTGGAACCAAAAAATCCATTTTAAGACAAATGCAAATAATGGAAAATGAGGATATCTTTTGGGTATGCTTATCCTTGTCCATGTCGTTCACAGAACTACACTGGATCCAGCTGGGATCTAGCTGGGGATGGGGGAAGCAAACCCACAGTCCCACCTACAGCTGAGCACTGGGGAGAGAAAGAGAGGCAGGGCAGCCTCCCTGGTGCACCCGGGAAAGGAAGAGAAGTAAGGAGGTACGTGCACGCAGCACAGCTCTCCGAGCACCAGGGGAGGGGAGGAGAGAAGGTCAATGGTTACAACTTTCCCAGCCAGGAACATCAAGAGAGTGGGCACTAGGAGCAGCAAAACTCTGCCCCCAGAATGCTTACATTCTGAGATTGGAGTGTGGGCATGGCTGTGTATGGTAGTTTGGGAAAGCAAAGCCTTCCCCCCACCTAACATAGCAGATGCCTATGGATCACTTGATGATTATTGTTCTATTCATTACCTCTGAAGCATGAGCCACTGTCAGAAGACAAGATACTGGGCTCGATAGACCTTTAGTCTGACCCAGTATGGCTGTTCTTATGTTCTAATAGCCTTTCCTTACAAACTTTGACCCCCTCAAAACATTTTGCATTATTAGTTTTAAATGGAAACAAAATTTGTTGGCCTGGGCTTACACTACCCAGACTTGACATATATCAGTTCTGATGTGACTACTTTTTTTTTCTCTGCCCCAACTCAAGCTATTACAATATCAGTGACAATTCCTACCTTGATAAATTATTTCTCATTGGGAATTCTGTTTGCTTCCCTCCAGCTGAGAGAGGTGATGCTATGGAAAAGGAAAGGGGTTTACTCTCCTGAGCAACTACATGGGACTAGCACACAATCTTGCCTAGTAGAGTTATCTTTATTGGTATCTGGCCAGAGTGCTAGAGCAGATATAATTTCTTGGACAAAACTCTTCTTATATTTTTCCTTTCATGTAAATTCAACATGTTCTGTGTTCACTTTACTTTGATCTGTCTGTTATCACTTTGGCTTTTTGCCATAAGCATTAAGTTCTACAAATAACAATGTTGCCATCTCATGATTTTATCACTAGTCTTTCAGTATTCAGGAAGCAATCCTGCTTCCATTGAATCTAGTCCCATTTAGCCTTGATGTTTTAAAGCCCCTGCACTTGCTTAACATGTGATTATGGGAGAGTACAAGCTTCCATTACAAATAAAAAGATTCTAGAGCTCATGAGTGTAGACAAAAGTTTGAAAACAAGAAAGCAAATCAACAGGATCCAAAACTTAGTAGGAGAAGTATTTTAAATCCCATATATTTTATTATGATATTTTGGGGCCTGATTCATGATTTTTGAGCAGTTGAGACAGGCAATTCTGGATTTCATAGTCAACATTGCCTAATAATTGAGGGCACCTTAAAATGAGGTGAATAATAATAATTCAAGAATAATGTGCCACATAGTTTAGGTACCCGGAAGTAAGGGTAAACACTTATCACCAAAGCCTTAATTCTACCCGGCAGGCCAACAGTCACTGCACTGTCTCCCCATCCCTGTCAGTGGGTGAGAGCTCACTGCTTCTTTCAAGAGGAAGAACCTTTTGACTGCTCCTGAACGATAAATATTTCTTATCCTAGGAGACACTTATGCCCCCTATTTTCATTGTCAAACAATAAAAATGAAATTGAAATGTATTTCCAGTAGGGAAAAATACTGCATTGGCTGAAAAAATGAACTGGGTGACCTAATACGTCTCTAATTTCTGAAGATTCTCTGATTCTTGCCAGTAATCTGGGACCTTAACTGTAAATAACCAAGGTTCTTACTCCCCTTTCAGTTCGTAGGATCATCGCTAGAAAAAGAAAACATATTTGGAACTTTTTAGAATTTCATGGGCTCTAGGATTCTAAGTCATAGAGAATTTATAAGGTATTATCATATGTATGTGGTTCAGAGAAAATAGAGTATATGCTCACTTTTAAAAATATTAATAGCAATTGAGGTTTCATGAAACCTCAGACTTTTTCAAGTTCCCCAATCCTCAGTAATAGTTTGCCAGGAAGCCACAGGCAAGTCCACCTCCTATTATAAAGTTAAATGCTATTCTGTTACAAAAACCAAACCTTCTGCATGGATGGAAACAATTGGTACTTATAATGAAATCAAGCCAATGCGAGTATCACACATTGCATAGCTTGTAGGATTTTGTCATGAAGGAAGGTAAATTAATTGTATTCTCAGGCAAATCGTTAGAACCTCCATTGATTTATGCTTTGCAATCAAAATATTTCTGCATTATGCTTTGCTATAGTTAAAGAATATGTTGCAATTTTATTGGAATGTGTCTTCCTGAGCTGGAGTGAACAGCATAAGCAGAGACATACGCATCTGTCCTACACTAATATTTGTTTTTCCTACCAGCCTACAACATAATCTTCTATCTCCCACCAACTTATATGACCCCGATCATTTCATTGTCACAGGTCCAGCATGAGGATTCAGAGAAAGATGATTTTGGGACACCCACAAACTGCACTAAACATTAAATTAAAAGACAAGCAAC